AATTTTTTAATATATTACATATTATTGGGTTCGCCTTCGGCTGAGGGTACCCGTATCCTCGTTTCTTAATTCGTGAAATCCTTGTCCCCAACCTTGTCCTCATCCTCATCCCTGGCTAACTCGGGTTCAAATATAGGTTTTTTTGCCATATGTAAGTATAAGGTTTTTTTTTATGCATCGTGTTCTGTTTTCATCAATGACATTGTAACAAAATTATAAGAAGAAATAAAAATGTATTATAGAAGGGGAAAAAATTTCAATGCATCATTTGTAATGTGAAACTATATTAGATAGTTATATCTAAAGTTTTAGATTCCTCGCCGATGCTTCTCTTCATTCTTAATACCTTTGACGTCTCACTTTAGCAGCCACTATATTCGAATAATAAGGAGCTCTTACTCCCCCAAAAGATCGTCATACATCTCTATAAAGAAAACGCAAGAAAATCACTTCGAATGGTTTATCAAGAAGATGCAAGAAAGGCACTTCACATCGTAGATTAATTGCTAGAGATGTATATTAACTTTATGTTTACCAGTATGTTCCCAACTTTATAGAAAGATTTAGGATATATTTGACAAAACTTGTGGTCGTAAAGTGTTTAAGAATTTGAAATGTGTAAAATAAGATAAAGTGATAAAATTTAAAGCTCTCAAAAACTAATTGAAGTGATTTATGGATTTGAATCTTTTTGTTTTAAAATTTAAAATAAAAACTTCAAGCTCATACTCCCAAGGAACTTTTTTATCTATTGGAGATTTATCTCAAAACTGAAGGCCAAAAGCTATACCATTATATGGTTAACCCGTACCTAATGTAGTGACACTAAATCCGGAAATATCTTAAATCCTAACTCAAACCTTATCCGGGTTAATCATTAGATGCAATAAAATAAGTCTTAACCCTAATAGAGGACACGTTCTTTAGATGTAGAATTACAATGTAATCACAACTATCCATACCAATTACTCCAAGATTTACAAAGCTTTTCAAGACGATTACACTCGCAATAAAAGCAGTCATATGCGTATATATACAAGTAGAAAGTTTATAAGCTAAAATTAATGAAACCTTCCACACAATCAAACACACTCAAGAAAGTTGGTGCTGATCACCTGGTAATTGTCGATTTGCACGGCGAAACCACGTGGTGAATGCTGAAACTAAATGAGGGCAATCCTCAACATTTCGAGTTGAAAAACTGAGACATTGCTGCAACAATTCTTGAGCTTCGGACATAGGCAATGTTGATATGATTTTCAAGAATGTTTCTTCCAATTCCAGGTATAATGATTTATGATTTGTCAACATTGGTGTGACATTGTCTTTGCATACAATCAATACAGGAAGCCAATCTTTCACCATTTTCATCCTAACCTGAAACATAAGAGAATAGGAAACACTCTCAGGGATAGAATCCTAGAACAATATGCAAAGAATGGGGATTTAAAAGCTTACCTGTCTAGAGGCCAAAATAACACCAGAAGCAACAGCATTGGCAAGCTTGCAGGTACACCTAAGAACCACAGCAGGAAGACCAGGAACAATATTCCTCCATGCATCATCCCTAAATGCCCTCTGCAGATCAGCAGTAAAAGAAGTCTGTTCACTCCATTCCTTCACAGCAGTATCAGCTACTCTTAACTCAATCATCCGCTCAATCAACCACAATAAATGCCTCCCATTTGTCATTGCAGTGTGCAAATTCAACCTCTGAATTGCTTCAGTCTCGTTATGATCACCACGAAAGTCTGGACTGGAATACTCCTCCAAGGACTCTTTTACCACCTTCAAACTGGTCTCAAAAGACTTATCCAAAACTCTTCTTGCGGATTCCCTGGATGAAAAGTCCCTTAAGAGTTTTGCAACAAACGCTTTTGCAAACGCCATGTTTGGATGATTATGAATCGCTGTTAATATCAATCCGTGAAGCATTTCCTCTGATAAATCCGACTTTGGAGGTGAAACCCTAGCTAAAAGTTCCACTGACTCCTCATCTCGTAAAAGGGGGATTATACTTAACACGATTATTTCTTCCTCCTCTGTCCACGGTACAGCTTCAAGGTATCGGACGCAGGCCGTTACACAGTCCTCAAACAGTAATTCCAAGGCAATTGGAAGTAACTCTAGCGCTTTAGATGCTGTATCAATAGTGCTCGATATTTCATTGGTATACAGAAGTTGAAGAACAGTGACATGATTGTTGATCGAACCTGCAGTCACGGCTAAATTAAACCTGTAATAATCAACTTCCCCTGAGTCCTTCTTCCACCGATCAGATAAAAGTGCGGAGAAGTACTTGGATCGGCGTAGGACAGAAGAATGGAGATAGATCTCGAATTCCGATGTGGAATCAACAGCCACTACCGTTTCTGAATCGTCTGAATCAAAAGGTGAGGACTGATCGAGGTAGAGACGGAGGATGACGTCAGCGGTGTTAGGGTCATTGAATCCATTGGGGACGGAGGATGCGATAGGGAGGAAAGAATGACGTGAATTTGATCGGCGGATGGATGATGTTGGTAAGGGTTTGTGAGAGCCTTCGGTTAGGGTTCCGTCGAGACGAGAGGAATCGATCACCGCCGCGGTGGATGATAAACGGCTGTTGCTTCCGACACGGTGCCGTTTCTTGGATCCGCCGTTACCGCCATTGCCACCACCGATCATGGCGTTTGGAAAGATTGTGAAAGGAACAGGGAAATGAAATTAGTTATAGAGGAATGGTAACCGCAAAGGTTTTAATATTAAGGATTAAGGGCTTATCGGTAGAGACAGCGGTTTAAATAGTGTATGAACCATGTAAAGGGTTATGATAGATTCTAACCGTTGGATAGGTATTTGCTTCATATGATCTGCACGTGGCAGTCAATGGTTGGTGAATAGTCGAGACCGCACAATAATTCCGATGGAGGCGAGTTCAGTGACTCAAAGCCCGAGTTTCAGTCCAAGTGGATAAGATCACGACAGTGTCTACATTCTGGAGTAATCGAGGAAAATAGAGTTTTAAAAAAAAAAATTTATTAAGTAGCTGTAGTTTTAAAAATAAATATTTATAAAATATATGTAGTTTTAAATTTTTAATTTTTCATAAAATTTTAATTTTTTTAATTCTGTTTTTTTAGCATATATTTTTTTTTACTTTCGTTTTTACTTTTTGCTATAAAAAAGTGTTTTATTATTCGTTGAAGAAAACAAAATTTCTTGTTGCATCTAATCTAGATATACAAAAAAAAAAAAAAAAAAGAATTGTGTATTTTTTTCTTAGGCATGTATGTATTTAAAACTAATATATACAAAATCAATTTTAATTAAATAATTTAATTTTAGAATTGTTTTCCACGGGTGGAACGTCTATAGGGCTATGGCCCCCTGATTTTTTTACTTGCTACATGTACTGTATACATATGAATTTGATCTTATTTCTTTCATTATCTTTTGGCCCCCACATTTATGATGCAAGGTCTTGAAAGAAAATATATAGACTGATTAACTCCAAAATAACACAAAATCTTATTTTTATTAATTATTTGATTCATTGTGTAACTACTGAATTAGTAAACTAAATAAAGTTATAATCCAAAAAATCAATGAAAAATAATCAAAACCGATCCTCATAAATCTCGGATGCCAACTAATTAGAAAAACTAAAGAGCTATAAAAAATCAAAAAACTATTTTAAAATACAATTTCTTGACTCAACCTTGAAAAAATCCAAAACCCTAAATAAAAGAAGCATTGTTGCTGTCGGAAACCCATCTGAGATATCGCATTCACCATAGTGCTTACCTCTGCCAGATTTCTCACCAGAAATATATTATCACTGGCCGACTGCTGCTTCTTAGCCTTCTTCTCTGTTCACCGATTACTTCTCCTTGGTCTCTGTCTCTTAACTTTTGTCTGATCAGTCCTCTCGATGGGTTCTTTAACTGCTACTACGACAGAGACCTTCGTCGGCGGTGCTTCCTTCCGGCATCTTCTCTCCTACAAACCTTTGTGGTCTTTATCTCTTATTTCTGGTGTTCCCTATTTCGAAATTGTAAGTGTCTCCTCTCTTATTTCTTTAAGTCTTTCTATTTCTTTTTCTCTCTCTTTCTCTCACCAGATAAAAAGGATATGATAAATTCTAGATTAGAAAGTCATATTATTAGGATATCTATATTAGGGTACCTGTTAAAACTTTAAAAAAGACTACAACTTTTATTTACTGTTTCTAATTTTTGAATTCTTATTTGGAATGTTACAATAATTAGTTATCCTTCAAAGTGTACTTATAAATTATTATTTTTATTTTATTATCTGTTAAATACTAGTATTAGTTAAAATGGTGGTATGTAGTAGGGGTGTGCAAAAAACCGCACAAACCGCCCGCACCGCACCAAACCGCACCGCATAATGCGGTTTAG